GATTGTAGTTTGAAGTGGGAAGTCAACTGCCGGTTAATAGACTTTTTTGCCGTATGAGTATAGGATGCCCGGGGTGCACCACGTGGAGGTAAGTCTATCGCGCACACCCTATTCTAACATATATAACTTCATCACTTGAGGTCTAGGCAAACGATTAAGTTCTTCCGTGTCTAAATTTGGTGTGTATTCACATGTCCTTGTCCCCTCTCGTTTGAAGGGGTTATTTGCTTTGTACTGAAAGGGGGAGGGGGAATTTAACAAATGTAGTAATTGTAGTCCACTAGGCCGGTGGGGTCTTTCCAAAATGAATGCTGGTAAGCGGCTTTATTAAATGGGTTTGGGAGTTCTATTCGACTTTAGGTGGTCTTAGACGCTTCTTATCTTAGTTTCTTTTGCATATATCTTTTTTTCCTTCGTAGATGCGTGGGCGAGGGTCGGATGTACCATACGCAAGCGGTGACCTTAATGCGTCTTGCTGATTTGCCCGCTGGATTTGCCTCCGCGGCGTCCTTTGTCGATTTGCCCGCTTCTATCGACGTAAGTGGGTGAATCATTCCATCTCTACTTTTACTCCAAAAATTAACTCAGTCGTTTTTCTAAAGTCAAGCCTCACAACACCTGTTTTCCTTCTGTTAGTGACAATCCTACTTGTGACGTTTTAAAATTCCGTTTCAGATCGTACCTTTGCGTCCAGATTTCTCAATCAATGTCGAAATCTACTGTCTTCAGACAGGTGCAGATAAGGACAACGACACAATTAGCGGTTGCGGTCTTCTTTCTACTCCCCTCTCAAGGTCTGTTAGGGCATCTGCTCTCGCAGTCTCACCCATCACTTCTTCGGCGAAAAAGTGCTTGGGAATTCGTAACCTTCTTTCTTCAAAATCTCGCAAGCAAAAGCGTCGATTCTCCGGCGTCCCCACTGATCTATCGGCCGCCTTCACCCTCCTCTCCTCAGTTCAAATTCACCACACTGATGATCTTCTCTATGGCAGGTACCCACCAACAAGGGATCTTTTTTCATCTGTCGTCCAGTCTGAAGTTTTGTCCGGTGTAGAAATGCCCCTAATGTTGCTTGGTCTACCCAGATCGACTCCACTTACTGGGCGTGTTGGAATGTGTGATGTTGCGGTGAGGCTCCAATCATCGGTTCTGAAACGAGGTTTCTTGGTGAGTGACTCCGATCCGATAAATCTGTTAATTGATGCTACTCACCGTTGATCATCCTCTGTGTTCTTCTCTGCCATCATATGAGTTGGCTTTAATTGATGAAAATCTAAGGGGCCGAAATCGCAAATGACTACTGGGGTTTTCCGAGAGTCTGCCCATCCGAATAAGCGCTCTGGGCGGATTTTCGGAAAATCCCGGTACAGATCTCCGATCGTTGGAAATCGATCTACAGAAGGTGCATACAAGGTTTAGAGTTCAACTTGATCTACTTGGTTCATGCAACTCTAGACGATTGACCTCTCAGGTCCAACCCACCTTTATTTGACGGCTTAGATTGTTTGTTGCACGCTATCCGTTCTGTAATTCGGTTTATGGAATGCTCCGGAAATCGATGAAAGTTCTCTCCGCTTGAATATCGAAGCCTCATTTGTGTCGTACTTATTGTGAATTAAATCTGTTATTTGTCTTTTTGTCAGACCATTTTCGACGAATCTGGAGGCATGGGTGTCTGGACCCGATGTTGGTGCAAACTCACTGCGGACCAGCTGGTCTACTGGCGTTACCCGGAGGATGAAGAGGCGGGAGGAAGACCTATTGGACGTCTCGACATGCGATGTATTGTTCACCCATGGGCTGTCCAGGCTCCACGTAAAATATGCGTCCGTGCGAACTCTATCTACATTCGATCGTTGATTAGTATCAGCCCTAATCTAGTTCCCCTAATCAAGGAGGATAATGAGAGTTGTGCCACCAGGAGTATTCTTTTTCATGCCTCTACTGATAACCGGTGGATGGAACAACGGTATGTTCTTAATTGGCCTTTGCGCGTTTCCATTTCATTTGCAATTCTCAACAGGCCTCTAATGCAGAAAAAAATGGGTAATGTGCCTAGATAGGTGGTATTAGTTCAAGGCATATTTCAGGAAAATTGCTCTTTAGTTATTGAAACCCATCCAGGGTTCCTGATCAAAATGTTTGTTTGGGTGATTGTTGATGGTAGAGTCCCACCACCTCAATTATTTGCAAGATCGAAAACCGTAGTGGTAAGCTGGCAATAGAAATGGATAATTGAAACATCCTTGCCCTTCTACTTAATTGGGGATCTTATTTTTGTACGTCTTTAGAAGAGTTGGCTAGCAATGAGGTACCCGAATTTTATCCCTTGACTATTTTCGGTACTTAGAACCCACTTGCTGAAATCCTTGAAGCGAGAAGAGGTGTGCCATTGCTTGATTAGTAGATGAATACGGTAGCTCTTTTGCGGGGGCAACACAGAGCGCATATTGATGAGGATATAGGCCCTAGGTTAGGTTTTTTATGTATGTCCCAATTTGGAAAGCCAGGTTGTGTGGATTGACACTTGGCAGTAGTATCATTGACAACGTGTTGAAGAGATTCCGTCTGTATCGATCAACTGAGGTGAGTGGGTAGGGAAGAGCCCGTTACCATCTTGAGTACTGCTTCATTTCGAAGGCAGAAAGTTGAAACCTAAAAAGATAACTTGAGGACTATGGAATAACCACGCCCATCGACAGATCAGCTTAGCTGATCATTTTCAACTAAAGATTATCTGGTTGTGGTCAATGGTTTCTATTTTCAGGTATTCTCTTTAGTCTACGTTCTATGCACTCGCATTTCTATGCTTACAATGGCCTTGCCAATCAGTCTTATGAGTGCTTATTTTTGTTTCCTTATAGCCATCTAATGTGTGCTGATTCCGTGGCAGAAGTAGATTCATGGGTGAAGGAATTCAACCGAGGTATACAAGTTCTTCATCGTTGGATGCCCGAACACTTCACACGTTTGGCTCACTACGACGCGAATCTGACCTGCACCGAGCCCGTCTCTGCCAAATTTGCCACCAGATTCAAGTGTTCACCCTCTCATCAGTAATACACTTCCCTCCTCTAATTATTTAATCTCCCCTACTTCATTGACCTGACCTCTTCCACTTTGTAATGATGACGATGCACTGATCGCCTAAACTTCATCTTTTTTATAGGCGCTAACCCCCCCCCCCCGCCACCCCCATCCACCACCACCATCACTGCCTTCTGCTTTTATGGAGCATTTGAAATTGGCCTCTGCCTTCACATTTGCATCTAAATTTGTGTAAATTTATCCAAAGCGGATTTTTGAGTAAATATCCGTAAATAAAAACAAACACACACAGGAATGGTAGAGAAATTATTTTTTGACTATGGGGTGGCCTTTTAAACGTAACGTAGTGATCAACCAGTGGACCGGAAAATGGAGTGATTGTTGGTCTGACTTTCAGACATAATTGGGGAACACTTTGGATTACGAGCGATGAACCCCCCTCGTCCTTCAGACTTTCCTGACTTGTGGCTTGAATACCTTGTCCGTTGCTATTAGCAATGCGCTTAGGACAGACTGGATCTATTTTGTTGGACGTCTTGAACTGCGGAAGTCCATAAGATTGGGTAGAATCACCTGTAATCTCTCCACGATTACTATTCTGTTGGGGGGAGGGGGGGGGGACAATAGATATTGCACATATAAAAGCATCGAGAGTTGGAAGAACTTGCAGTGCGAAAATTTTGCTGAAACCTTGATGGGGGGGGGGAGTAGCATAGGCGGCAACGAATTGGGTGTTGAAAGTCATTCCAAATGCAAAACTCCACGAAGAAGGCGCCTCAACGATTGCCCCCCCCTTTTTTACTTCAATCTTTCGCTATTCAACGAATGAGAGCTTTAATCTATTTGATAAAGTAGGCGAATTTTGGAAGTAATTAATCTCTGTGTATTTTTTTTAAAGTAATATTTATTTATATCAAATGGCAGGCGTCTTGATGCTCATTATTAGCCCTTTAGTTGACTTCAGGCTTCACAGAGGGGAGGAGGAACATCCAAGTGACAGAAGTGTTTCAAAGACAAAGGTAGAAATAATGCGAGGTGAGCACTGCGGAAGTAGTCGAATATGACATACAGTGGGGTGATGGTAGTTTAAAGTCAGAAGTCAACTGCCGGTTTATAGACTTTTTTGCCGTATGAGTATACGTTGCCCAGGATGCCCCACGTAGTGGTAAGTCTATCGCACACCCCGGGTTAGTTAAAGTAAATTTTTGAAAACTGGGGCAGCCTAATAGAAGAATTTTGGAAAGTCAAAAAATAGGAATGGCTGTCAGAATAATTATCTTGAATCAAATTAGAATTTAATCGTCTTGAAAAATGAAATAGACACCAGGAATCATAGAGAAAATGCTGGTAATATTAATACTATGACAAGATGTTAATGACATAAAACTAATTTAGTCTTCTTGTTTGCTTGTAACTATCAACTATTTCATTTGGTTTTACCGATTCCTAGTGGATTATTTTGTAGCGGATTGCTACTTTAGTAAAGCCTGACCGACTCAGAAATCTCTATGGCAGATTCTCCAACATCTAGCTGGACTCCCAGAACAAGCTAAGCTATAGCCCAGCTATAGGGGAAACAGACGTGAAGCAAGGAATACGTTTATTCGATACGTATATTAATAGCAAAGTGTTAAGTTTGGCAAAGCGATTAGTTATCAGATAACTCTAGCATAATTCGTGTGAACATTAATAGCTAAAATATTTCTGAGTAGGGTTCTATAGCAGGATTTCTATTTGGTCATTGATGATGTGTCCCACAATTTCATGAACGTA